CAGTTGAAGAGGAAGGTTTTCAGGTGGGACTTCCAAGGAGGGAGAGAGGAGGCAAGGTGGAGGGATTAAAGGAGAGTGTTCCAGAGTTTCAACGCGAAATGGCTAGAAGCGCGACCTCCAATGGTGGGGCAGAGGTTGCGAGGGACAAGCAGGAGGCCGGTGCCTAGCCAGAACTGTTGAGATGTGGGTACGGAGTTTGGTCCCGGTCAGTATGCGGGTGGAAGAGCTCTGAATGTGCTGGATCGTTTGAATAGTGAAGCTGGGGAGACCGGCGAGGTATGTGTTTGAGTGAACTTCAAACAAAGTTTGAACGAAATACAATTAACTTGTGTTCCTGGAAAAATTGATGTGAGTTCTCACTCCTGACTTCCCCAAATAAAATTGTCACTCGCTTCATGGCTGTTTGTGGGTCATTACTGTGTGCAACTAAGCTGCCACGTTCTTCCACTAAACATCAGTCACTGAGCTTTACAATATAACTGGTGAAGCACTTTAGAATGTCCTCCCATTGTGAAAGATGCTATACCAAATGTAAAAATTATTATTATTTTAATTATCCTGCTGAAAATGTACCTCTGGCACATGAGGACAAAATCAGGCTTGGTTGTCATAACCCTTACATTTGAACGAGTTTGCTGTTGAATACTATCTAACCTTACACCTGGAGTACAGCACTCGGTTGAGGCAGTGGAGGGCTGTTGGTACCTAACACCTAAGCATGAAGTGGAGAAAATTCTAATACAAAACATTAATCAAAACCTTGGATTTTTCACTGCAATGTTTATATTTAAGAGAAATATCTGAGAGGAGGAGGGCGCTCATTCATTCTCATTAGTTCATCCTGCATCAGGATGTGCCCTCTATAAATAGAAAAGAACAGCAACTTCCTTCCACTTAAAACTGGTCAAAGCCAGTGGTTTTAGCCATATGTCTCAGCAAATTCATTCTTACACATATTTTTAATCCTGCTTTCTGTTCTACAGTCTTTGATTGCTTGAGACAGTTTGTTTAAAAAAACCATCAAGAACTTCCTGCAAACTAATTCCTGATTCTGGCCCTCTGTTTCTTATATATATTTTTAATTTAGATACTTGAAATATATGTTTTTTGCTTAAAAACAAAGTGTGTGTCTATGTGGCGGATGGGGACGTGGTGGTTGGGGGTCGGTACTGTAATGGGATACTCCAGCTGAAGAAGGTAAAACAAACTAACCTCCCTGCTATGGAATGTTTTGATCTCCTGCTCCTCAGGCTATCTGCTCACCTTCACCTTACCTCCTCTCCCAACCTCAGGCACAACTCCCTCACTGTCATTCTCAACACTTCCACCATTTCCCATACTGCCAGCCATCCCTGGTATTCCAGGCAGGGCAAAACCTTGGGCAAGTTTCCTTACTCCACGCGCCTAATAATAATCCCTCCAAAACCAAAAACAATAATAAATTGGTCATTTTCAATCTACGACTGTTTGTGGGACATTGCTGTGCGCAATTGGCTGTCGCGTTCGCCCACAAATATACAGTCAATTCACTTTACAGTGTGTTCTGTGAAGCGCTTTGGGACGTCCTCCCGACGTGAAAAGCGCTATATCAAATGCAAGGATTATTATTATTATTCAACTCCCTCAAACCCCAGACCAGTGCCACCAAATGCACGTGGCTCAAATCCAGCTTCAGGGTCTATCAAATCTGAATGGACCAAACCAAAGCCTATTGCTTTGCCCTCGCCTCAGCCAAAACTTGTTTCTACTCCAAGATTACCCTGATAACCAAAGACACTCCTAGACCTTTTTCTCTACACCAACCACTTCCTTCACCAACCTTTCCATGCTCCTTTCATTCTTACCTGCAACTCTAAATGCAAGGAGGTAATACATTTCCTTGAGCCGAAAATTTGAATGGATCGGCTCAATTGCTTCTGGCTTCTCCACGACTGAAAGTGCCCTGGTTACGGTTGGCAATGACACTTTCTCCATCTGTGACCAAGGCTTTCTCTGCTTCCTCATTCTCATTGACCTTTCTGCCCCTTCAACACAATTAACTACTCCATCCTCTCTCTTCACAGCTCCACCTTCACATTTCTGTCCTTTCCTAGTTTCATTCCTATTTATTTCAGCATCTTCATCTTGTCCCTTCTAATGGCTTCTCCTCCCACTCCTGTTCAGTTACATGTGGCGGTCCTCAGGACTCTATCCTCGGTCCTCTCCTTTTTACTATCTGTATGCTTAATGACATCAATTGCAAACATAGTGACTAAGTTTCCTTACTTCACACGCCTAATAATAATCCCGCCAAAAAACAAGACAATAATAAATTGGTCATTTTCAATCCACGACTGTTTGTGGGACACTGCTGTGCGCAATTGGCTGCCGCGTTTCACCCACAAATATACGGTCAATTCACAGCATATTCTGTGAAGTGCTTTGAGACGTCTAGAAGACATGAAAAACTCTATGTCAAATGCAAGGATTATTATTATTATTATTATTATAAGTGTCCACATCCACATGTAGGCTGATGGCACCCAATTGTATCTCTCTGCTTCTACCCTCGATTTCAGGACTACTGCTGTTCTGACGGATTGTCTATCAGACATCAAGTCCTGAATGAGCTCTAACTACCTTCAATTGAATGTTGACAAGACTGAGGCTCTCCTGCTTGACTCCTGTCACACCTTTGACTGCATCCACCTACACAAATGCTTCCCCCCAACCGTCTTTCAAGCTCCACATGTGTGCTCTTACTTACTCACTTTCATTCACCTCCACAATATTGCCTACCTTTGCCACCAATTCTCCCCCACCAGGCATCTGAGTACCTCACTCATACCTTCATGTCCAAGCTGGCTTATTCCAATGCTTTGCTCGCTGGACTCCCTAGCTCATTCCTATATAAAACCCACAGATTATTCAGAAAATGTTAATTGCATTGTTTGAAGACTGGTTGCAACACTCGTAAGTGGTTGTTGGTTCTGCCTTGTCAATAATAGCTCAAAAAGCTTTTGAACTTATACTGAATTGTGAGTCTATTGACCTGCATGGGAACGTTAAGAGTATTGTAGTTGCTCTCTATGCCCCATGTTAGGTTTGGAAAAGTCCCACTGCTGATTATTTTTACCGATCCCTGCTGGAAGAGGTATGTGGGTTTTTATGGGAGGAAGTAAAGAATGACAAAGGGTTAGTTTTTCTCATAGTCAAATAGCCTGATGACAATCTTTGTCCAACCTCAAACATGATATTTGGCCACTTGGGTGAGGCATAGCAGAGTAATTAGTGTATGTGAATTTGTTTCTTATTGTCACTCACAGTGGATTGTTAGAATGTGGAATAACCCATCTAGAAACGTGGTTGAGGCAGAAACTTGCAGTTGTGGTAAGATCTCTGGGAGTAAGGATTTTTTTTTGACAATGCCTTCTGTGAGGTTCTGCTTGATTGTTGAAGTCTGAGTGATTCAAGTTGTTAAAATGAGCAAAATTAACAAAATTTCTTTATTGGCACATATAAATTAATGGCACATATGGCACATTGACCTATACATAAACTTATACTGTACTTAACTGAAATGAATTTTAACGAATAAACTAACATGGTGAGAGTGGGGGAGGGCAGAGTTGCTCTGTCACACTGACAGCTGCTTGCTCTGTGCAGATGCAGTGTGCCCTGATAGTCTTCCTGGCCACAGCACCCCCTAATGGGCCTGGAGGATTCATGTTTGCATAGTCCTTACTGGTAGGGTGGTTCTATCCCTAACTGGTAGGGTGGACAATGGCAAGCTATGTGGAAAGCTTGCCAGGCAGAGCTATAAATGGCAAGCTATGCGGTTTTAGCTGGTTAGATTCCAGCAATACCCCACCACACACTCTGGGGTCCCCAGGCCTTGGCTCTTGCCAACCTGCACCTTATACTTTCCAGAATTAGGTAAGCAGGATGTATCGCTCCAGGGAGAGAGTGTGCATTCCATTCCAACAATCTATCTCTGGGATTTCCATGTGTAGATGGGATGCATGGAATTCTCAGTTTGGTTTGGATACTCTTAAACGTGATGATTGGTTTCCACACATGTTGGACACTTGGCTGACCCCCAAAAATGTATGGTGACTGTGTATTTGTAGTCAAACACGGCAGCCAATTTGCAGACAGCAATGTCCCACAAACAGCCATGAAGTGAATGATCAATTTTGCTTGAAGGATTGTTGGTCAAGGCATCAGAAGGATCCCCTCCTCTTTTCCAATAGATTCATGAGATATTTAATGAACAGGCAGACGATTTACAATACAATATAAATTTACCTTTATATAGAACCTTTGACATCAGGAGCATGTCCCAAAATGCTGAACAGTCCAGGGTTTGCACCTGAGCTGGGGGAAGGGACAAGTCAAAGGGACTTGGGGATGGAGTTTCCGAGAGATGCACTGAAAGTTTGATTGCCAATGGGGGTTGGGAAATTGCTGGCGATTTAATGTCTCATCTGAAGGATAATACTAATCATCCTTGCATTTTATATAGCACCTTATCACGTTGTTTAGACATCTCAAAGCGCTTCACAGAAGATATTGTAAAGTGGATTGACAGAAGATATTGTAAAGTGGTGAAGGATGCTGTCTCTGATAATGTAGCACCCCCCCAATATTGCACTGGAGTATCAGCATGGACTGTACAAGCTCAAAATCCTGAGTGCCACCAACTGAGCCAGAATGGACACATATGGTTTTGTTGGGGGGGTGGGGTGAAATCATAATCAATGCTAGCCCTTTTGTTATCTGTTAGCAACCCACAAATGTACTTGCAGACTTGGTGGACCCAAAATAGATCAAAAAAAGGATTGAAATAATCAGTTTGTCTCAGTTCTACATCTTTTGGTGCATTTATCTACTAAGCCGTCAAAGGATTTGGAAAAAGATTATTTCGGGCGGTCCAAGCTTCTGCTAAGTCTTGCATTTAATCATTATATTAATTCTAAAAATGCATAAATAATTTTAATTTTTCTCTTTTTTTTCCACAGCCATTACAGCCGGTTCTCATTTTGTACAGAAATGGGGACTGAAAATCAGAATTGCTATTGGCCCAATCCACAAGTGGAGAACTACATTATTTCAGTCCACAAAATGTTCTTTTCAAACTGTACTTTGGAGACTGTAATATTGCAGGACCCTCCTGAAGGCACTCTGATAATCCTCATCGCTGTGCCTGTCTTTCTAACCACAGTGATGATAGCACTAGTGGTGTGGTGCAGTAAGAGAAACGACATACTGGTGTAGATATAAATATATGTATATTGCACAAAGATACAACTTTGCAAGTATTTGTCTTGCTGTACATTAATGTGAATCCCACTGACAAAGTCTGTGGCCTATTGTCTAGCTGCCTCAGTTGGTGGAGGGACACCCTCCAATAATTGTCATTATTCACTTCTAAAGTCAAACATCAGCACAGAAGTTGCTATAGACTGTAACAAGCGGGCGAGCACATGGAGCGAAGTAGATTTGTTTTTAAAGTGCTGGAGCAGGCGTCAGGTACACTTTACTGGATAACTAATTCATTTCACAAGCCAGCCTCAACCCAAAAAAGCACGACCACCTAACCCATCTTACGGCACAAAAGGATGAAATCAGGCAAGAAAAGAGGTTTCTGGAGGCGTTCAGGTGACAAAGACAGTGACACTTACTGAAGAAATTTTTCCTAATCCATTTCAGGATGACTTCTTGGAGCTCGAGGGTATGGAGTGAGTTCCAGGAAGGATGTGGGAGTGGTTTCCAGAGAGGGAGAAGAATGATAGGAAACGGGGCTGACTGATATCACCAGGAGTGGTACGGGAACTGACAAGTGCTCTGCATTCCCTAAACGTTTTGTTGCATCTAAATCTGAACGTGCTACTCATCTACTCCCAGTGGATTTTGTGACTAGAGAGAAATTATAACAGATGGTTGTGTGACAAATGTGATGCCATTATAGCTCCAATTCCATAAGTCATTTTACAAACATTTCAAAACATTGCCTTGACCAATAGAACACAGCCAGCTTGCTTTCTCTCAGTGTATTCCTGTGGTGTAAAATTTACATATAATTACATATACTGTACAGCACGGAAACAAACCATTCAGTTCAACTAGTGCGTGCCAGTGTTTATACTCCACATGAACCTCCGCCCATCCTATTCCTCTCCTATTCTTCTCCCATACCCTTCTATTCCCCTCTCCCTTGTGTTAGTATTTATAAGTGAAGATTATTGAGAGATGTCCTGTCTGTCTCAAACAACTGCTTGTGCTTGTTTATAATTTGACCACCTGAAACAATGGTAGGAAATTAGATTGTTCCATTTAAAGCTATGCAAGCATTAAGTAGTTCACTGACCTCCATCAGCTGACTGTGATGTACAACATCCCATTTAGCAAATGATAGCTTTCTTAAAGAAGGATTGCATCTTTTTCACAACGTTTTGAAGCAAAAGTAATAAGAATCCTTATAATAATCTTGCATTTGATATAGCGCTTTATCATGTCATCAAGGCAACTCAAAAGCACTTCATATGGTATACTGTAAAGTGATGTGACTGTATATTTTGTGGATGAAAATGTATGTTTTGCCATTTGATTGAGAGAATGCACATCCATATTTTGAAACTACAATTCAATGATCTTGACTTGTTGAGATTTTTAAATAATTGTTTTTGAAAATTGTAAACAGAAGACAAATACGATCTTACCAGAAAGCAAATGATATTTGGATTTAATTCAGAAGGACCAATAATAATACTTTAAAAAAAAAAAAAATCTCTACTTGTTCTGGGATGAAGCAGGTACAAGACAGTTTTACTTGAGTAGGGCAGAGATGCTAGGATACCAACTTTGAGTTTTATAAAGTTCCCCAACCCCAAAATGACAAATGGGACAATGAATTTAAGTGAGTACATACAGTATTGTTCAGTGCCAAAAAACAATTTGATATAGGGTACAGTTTGTAACGTTTCTTAACCCACTCCTTGTACTAACACCACAAATTTGTTCCTATGGCTTCATTAGTGCCCCCTTTCCTCAATTGACACTGACCTGGACTCAGTGCTGCTCTCAGCATCTATTCCCACACACCCAAGCGCTCACGCTGTTTGCCAGTGAATAAAGAAAAAGCACAAAATTAATCTTATATACAGTAGATAGTTCACTGGCGTAGGCCATTTGATTACTATTGCAATTCCACATAATGATTTTTAATTCAAAGAGTATCAGCCTGACTCAGTTGGTAACTCTGACCTCTGAAACTGAAGGTTGTCAGTTCAATCCCACATCAGGACTTTGAGATCATAGTCTTGACCAGCATTGTCAAACCCTAGACGCCAATAAACACGTGACTCATGAAGGGTCTCAGTGTGGGTTACAGCCACTGCAATTCAGCAGAAAGCATATGTCTCAGATATTTCCCGCTGACAATTTGCTTACAGAGACGTATGGATGGCTATTTAAAGCACTATACGTGTGTGGAATACAATTCTCTAGTCAGGCTTTTTGAATATTCAATTGAAATTGAATAATCAAACAAAACGAGTATACTCAATTGAGACATCATTTTTGCATGAGAATATAATGACATGGATTTGTAGATTAAACTCATAATTCCCAGGAACTGTTTTCCATGTATTTAAATGAATACAACTTGCACCTCATGATGTCTCCACTCTCTTTGTATGTAAATATATGTCAGTTAACTATTAGCTACTTGCACATGCAAATGTGCAAGAGTCAATGGCTTGTTTACAAAATTCTGTCTGAAAATTAACAAATTATTGTGTAATTGCAGAAAATTTGAATTGAGGTAGAAAAGTCAAAACCCCCAGTGTTTGACATTCGTATACACAAGTATGCAATGTCTTTGTTGTGGTGATTCCAATAGGACTACGCTGTTGCTGCGTATGTCTTTGATTCACGTCATATGTAATTGGATACTCACACATGCAGAATCAGAGATGGCAGAAGATAGATTAACTCCGGAGTAATTTTGCCATTAGACATATTGGCAGATATAGGTACAGAAATTAGTGGGGAGAAGAAATCTTGCCAGGAGTAAGGATAAAATGACCTGGAGTCTACCTAAAGGATGGGAGGGGTGGGGCAAAGAGTTTTACACTTCAGTACCTGCTGACTGATTATTGATTTGCATTTGGCAGCAATGGATACCTTTACAGTCCAAGCTTTTACCTTCCTACTTGTCTGAGAATACCTAGGCCAGTCACAGCTCCCTCCCAGGTGAGATCAATTGGCAGAGCACAGGTTAGCTGGAATCTAACTGGATGGTATGGCTCAGTACCACACCATGTACTACATTTATCCACTGACCCAAAATGACCCACCAGCCTCAAAACTTTGAAACATTAATACAGATCCCCCTGTAACAAGGCTGTTGTCAATATTCTTAACAACAAATTTTCTGACTTGCACCCAAAAATTCCTCGTGATAATATATAATTTAAACTAACTAGGTTCCCTTTATTTTGCATAGAATATGTTTTGTAAATATACTCCACTTTGCACTATAATGTAAATAAGTGATTGAAATTGCCAATTTCTGCATTATAATTCAGTACATTATCTTAAACAACAGTATTTCTGAAGCACAGCACACCCTCTGATGTGTAAGAAAAGCTTATAATTGGTTAAATGTTTCACATTACATATATTATACAAGATCATGAAAAATTTGATTTGTTGTTGAAAAATAGATTGGAAATATCTATGTGCATACTGGAGTGTAAAACACAGTGATTGCTAACCAAATTCCTTATTAAAGAATCCAAGCCACAATAGGAATTCTTTCCAATAACTGGACACAGTGACCCATAGGAACTCTGCTCCTACATGATGTAATTTCGAACCTTAATGTAATCCATGTGAAGTACTTTTCGAAAGAGTCTCCATTTGGAGTCTTTATTATGGAATCCTATTAGTAATCCCTGTGTTTTTCCAACTCTGTGACCTTCAATAGCAGATTCTGGTAAAAAGATAATCATGTGGTTTGGGAAGCGTTGAGCTATCTAAAAAGAGATGCTGTGCATCGTTGATTTTCAGTATATAAGCTTATGTAGTACAATCAAATGAGGCACTCCAGCTTTGTATTACTGTATTTATAAATGGAGTTTTGAAATAAATTGTGAATTGTTGCCGATTAATGGACAATGCAGATATTATTTGTTTCTCCTTTCAATCCATTTATTTATAGAGAGATCCCACTTTACAATGATTCTAGGCATGATAGTTATCAGACAAAATTGCTGAAATGTTTCAATAAGATGAGTGTGGGACTTGCCGCCCTATAATATATTATTGCCTCTCAGTTATGCAGCCTTGGACATCTTTCCAATTTACAACGGTTCACCTTTCAGTATGATTTCAGTTTTCCTGGTATTAATTTGTTCAAACATTATTGGAGACAATCAATGCATAGCTCAGTTACTATATTTAATATGGCCCGGCCAACAATCCCACAAATAAGATTGGTTCCTCATTCCATGGCTGTTTGTGGGACATGGCTCAAACCGCACAGTCAATCTGCTTATCCTGTGAAGTGCTTTCAGACGTCTCAACGACGTGATAAGGAGCAACATCAAATGCAAGGATTATTATTTATTATTATACATGTCAATAACTGCTGTAAAAATTTAAGTTACAAGGTTACACCATCTTCACTTCATTTCCACAAACGGCTTCTCCTCTAGCCCCTGTGGTGTTCCTCAGGGCTCTGTCCTTGGTCCCCTCCTCTTCAATATCTATATGGTCCCTCTTGGTGACATTATCAGCAGACATGGGGTCAACTTCCACATGTATGCAAATGACACCCAACTCTACCTCTCTGCCTCCGCCCTCGACTCCAGGACCACTGCTGTGCTGAGAGAATGTCTGTCAGACATCAAGTCCTGGATGAGAGCTAACTTTCTACAGCTGAACATCAACAAGACCGAGGTTCTCCTGATTAATATTAATAATAATCCTTGCATTTGATATAGTGCTTTTCATGTCTTTTAGACGTCTCTCAAGGCGCCTCCCAGAATAGACTGTAAAGTGAATTCACTGTATATTTGTGGGCGAAACGCAGCAGACACTTGTGCACAGCAGTGACCCACAAACAGTCGTGAATTGAAGTGACCAATTGTTTTTTGAAGGATTATTATCAGGCATGTGGAGAAAGGAAACTTGTCCAAGGTTTCGCTCTGCTGGGAATCGAACTCAGTTCTCTCGCTTGCGAGGCAAGTGCTCTCATCACTGAGCTACAGGATTCCCTTCAGCATTTCCACACCTCAGGCACTGACTGTATTACCATCCATGGATACACACTCCACCTCACCGAGCCAGTCCAGAACCTTGGCACCTTGTTTGACCCTCAACTGTCCCCCTCCTCCCTCCCGCCAAACCCACTCCCCTCTGCATCTCTCCCGTTCTGTCCTTCTCTCTCCCCGTCCCCCTCGCCTTCTAGCCCCACTTGACCCTCCCACAACTTCCCTCTGTTCCAACCTGGGAATCCTCCGCCGGGCTCACCGTGGCACCCGGTGTTGGCTGTCCAGCAGCAGCCACACCGACTGCCCCATTACCCACCACACTCGCCACCCACCCCGGACACAGACCCGGGGAACCAACCTCTCCTCCCTCATCTCTATTCCCCCACCTCTGCCCCACAACCTGGACCCCCCTCCCCTCCCACACACCTTTCTGTCAACCACTCCCTCCACATCGGACTACAAAACGTCCGCTCCCTCTGTAACAAGGCCCTGGTCATCAACGATCTCATCCTTGATGAGAGCGTTGACATCATGGCCTTAACTGAAACCTGGCTCACCCCAGGCGACACCCTCCCCCTCACGGAGGCCACACCACCCGGCTACACCTCCCACCACATTCCTCGCCCCAACCGCCATGGCGGTGGTGTAGCCCTTATCTCAAGGACACCACTTGCCCTATCCCCCTACTCCTCTGGCTCTTTCGCTCTTTTGAGCACCCCACCCCTCCCATCTCTCACTCAAAATCCTCCTCCTCTACCGCCCCCTAAAACCTCTCCCACCTTCATCTCCGATATTTCTACCCTCCTAACATTTCTCTGCCTCTGCTCTGATCGCCTCATCATCCTGGGCACCTTCAACCTGCACTTCACCCCCTCCTGCTCCATCTCCTCAGACTTCTCCTCCCTCCTCTCCTCGCTCAACCTCTCCCTCCACATCAATTCCGCCACTCACAGTCACCGCCACCCACTCGACTTGGTGATCACCCGGGGCCTCAGTGTCTCGGATGTCACCATTACCGACAAGGCCATCTCTGATCACCACTTCATCTCCTTCACCACCTCCACCCCCCTCCCCACCTCCACCAGACCCACCACCATCTTCTACCGCCCCTGGAAGAAGTTACCCCCACAATCTGTAACTGCTGCCTTAGAGTCCTCTGAACTCCTCTTCCTCTGGCCT